ATCGTCTTTACTTCATAATAGACGACCCTTTTTATATGAAAACTGTCGTCTTTACATATAATAGACGACCCTTTTTATATGAAAACCGTCGTCTTTACATATAATAGACGACCCTTTTTATATGAAAACCGTCGTCTTTACATATAATAGACGACCCTTTTTATATGAAAACCGTCGTCTTTACATATAATAGACGACCCTTTTTATATGAAAACCGTCGTCTTTACATATAATAGACGACCCTTTTTATATGAAAACCGTCGTCTTTACATATAATAGACGACCCTTTTTATATGAAAACCGTCGTCTTTACATATAATAGACGACCCTTTTTATATGAAAACCGTCGTCTTTACATATAATAGACGACCCTTTTTATATGAAAACCGTCGTCTTTACTTATAATAGACGACCCTTTTTATAAAAAAACCGTCATCTTTACATATAATAGACGACAGTTCTTTCAAAACAACAATGTCTTTACCAAAAAAAGGACACTTGATTTTTAAAAGACGACGCTTGTCATACCTGCTGTCGTTGTTTTTTGGTCAGATTTTAACTCTAAAGAAAAGCTTTTTAATAAGACGACGCTTTTTTATTTGTGTGCGTCGTTATAAAAAAATTCTCAACAGTATCTCCATTTTTTAGTTGTTTAAGTCACTTATCCACGACGGTTTTTTGTTACCGTCGTCTTTTTAAAAAACAACGACGGTTTTTTGTTCTACCGTCGTCTTTTTCTGGTCGTCTTTTGCCCTTTTTGTAGTAGTGAAATGGGAGACGAGCTAATTGAAAGATTGAAATAAATTAGGAGTTTCCATAAATAAATAAAATCCAGCCATTAGTTTGATCGTGGGTTTGACATGAAAGATCTCATTCTTACCGCAATATTCTTCATTTTTCTGCCCTTCACTTTCTTTCATTTGTCTAGGCAACTCAACTCTCTCAATTCTGCTCCAAAAAACCAAAACAAGACATGGAAGGGGTTTGCTTTCAGTCCTTACATGGGAATCCAATTATGCAACTGATCTCATTGCTAGTAATAGTTCTAGAGCTAGTGTTTGTATTAGCTGTTAGTACATCATCAACAACAGCAGTAGGAGATGATCATCAAGCCCTCTTGCCTCAAGCCCTGCCTGGCTGCTCTGACCACTGTGGCAACCATGGGAGTTTCTGGGAGTTTCTCTTGTCTTCCATGTTTCTTCGGCATGAAAGGGACAAGTTGCAATCACATGCCAAAGAGTACGACTCCCATGTATCTCATTATTGTTACTATTATAGGTATGTACTATTTAAACATCCTGCCCCATGCCCCCCATGAAAATCAAATGAATAAAATCCATTATATGTAAAATCCAACACCTTGTTATGTTACACTTATGGGCAGCTATAGGTGTCATGCTAGTTTTACTCGTCAGATCTGCATCGTCCCTATGCTGGGGAATGAAGCAACGAAAGTACATCAAGTTCAAAGAAAAGTACTCTGAAGAAAATGGTGGTTTCTTGTTACAACATAAGCTTGCTAGTCATCATTGGGTTGAGACAACCAGGATCTTTACTGCAGAAGAGCTGGAAAAAGCCACAAACAATTATCATGACAGTAGAGTCCTTGGGAAAGGATCTTATGGAATAGTGCACAAAGGAATTATTGAAATTTTGGATCTGCCCGTTGGGTCCCACTCTAACAACACCGATACTGTCCCCACTTTACTACCTGCCCAATCCGTCAGGTGTGGGGTTTTACCACAAAAGGCCTCAATATTAGTTAGAGTGTGGTAATTCTATTTCAACCCATTTGTTTTATTTCACCCCACCGATGTGGGATTCCAACACTCCCCCTCACGTGTAACCCCTTTTTAGTGGTTCACACGTGAAGATCCACACATCGGCAATTGAAACTCAGAGGTCGGCTGTCGTTGGGCCCACTTGTTTTTAATGGAACTCAGAGGTCGGCTCTTTTCAAGCTTCGTTGGCTTCTTTTTTCTTTTTTTTTCCCCTTAAGAGTCCGACTTGTTTCTCCTTCTTGGTGACAAGCTTCGTTAGCTTGTACGGGCCTTGGCTCTGATACCATATTGAAGTTTTGGATCTGCCCGTTGGGTCCCACTTTAACAACACCGATATTGTCCCCACTTTACCACTTGCCCAATCCGTCAGGTGTGGGGTTTTACCACAAAAGGCCTCGATATTAGTTAGAGTGTGGTAATTCTATTTAAACCCAGTTGTTTACTTTCACCCCACCGATGTGGGATTCCAACAGGAATATTACCAGATAAGAAAATGGTTGCCATAAAAAAAGTCCAGAATTGCTGCCCCAACCCAAACCGAGCAGTTTGTTAATGAGTTGGTTGTTCTTTCTCAAATCAACCATAGAAATGTGGTGAGGCTATTAGGTTGTTGTTTAGAGTCAGAAGTGCCTTTACTAGTTTACGAGTTTATCAACAACGGCACCCTTTTTGAGCACATTCATGGTGAGAGGAGCAGAGGATCATCGCTTGTGTGGGAATTGCGATTGAAGATTGCAGCAGAAACTGCAGGAGCACTAGCATACTTACACTCATCCAATTTTACGCAAATCATACACCGAGATGTTAAAGCTGTGAATATATTATTAGATGACAATTACACGACAAAAGTGTCAGACTTTGGAGCTTCAGTATTGATTCCTCTACATCAAACTCAAGTAGTAACTTTGGTGCAAGGGACACTTGGATACTTAGACCCTGAGTATCTCCACTCGAACCAACTAACAGAGAAGAGTAATGTTTATAGCTTCGGAGTTGTCCTTGTAGAGCCGTTGACAAGCAAAGTGGCAATTTCTTATGATAGGCCTGAGGCAGAGAGAAGTCTAGCAAGACTGTTTGTTAGTGCAATGGAAGAAGATCGCTTGGAACGTATTCTTGATTGTCGCATAGTCAACGAACAGAATATTGGGACAGTAAGAAATGTGGCACGTCTAGCGAAAAGATGTTTAAGGTTAAAAGGGGAGGAAAGGCCGACCATGAAAGACGTAGCTATGGAGCTTGAGGGAATGAGAATAGCGACAAACGGGGAAGTAATGTTGATTTGCGTTCAGAAGATCAGACTTCGCTCTTGTCGTGGCCACCTTCAGACACTTCTGTTGCTGACGTTAGAGATGATTGTGGTTCTAGTGGCACAACTTCTGGTACAACTAGCAGGTATGCTACCATGCAAATTGAAATGTCATATGATGATTATATTAGTTTGTTCTTATTTGCTAGTTAGTGATCATCACTTTTGTTGGACAAACAATAATTTTTTTTCAACAAATTAATTTGAAAACTAATAATCGCAGTGTCGTTGATTAATGGTCTAGCTTGCAAAGGATCCAAAGTCAGCTGAAGCCATTGAAATTTTATTGAGTGGACTTTCTTTAGCAGGCAGCCTTGAATCTGATCGTTTGTAAAGTCAAACAATATGGTAGAATATTTTCAGATCTTATTTCAATCTCCGAAAGGAGATATTTATAATACAAGGTTACAAACCCTAGTAGGGTTGAATTAGGAAATAAGAGGAATCCTAATTACATAATATCTATACAAAAGGGAAAAATAAATAAAACCCTAATGGAATAGGATATATCTCGCCAACACTCCCCCTCAAGTTGGAGCAAAGACGTCACGCATGTCCAACTTGTCAAGCGAGTTGCGAAAGATACTTGTAAAAACAGCTTTCGTAAGAACATCGGCTAACTGATACTCTGAGCGGATGAACGGAAAAGAAACAATCTCTGCATCCAACTTTTCTTTAATGAAATTTCGATCAACCTCCACATGCTTGGTATGATCATGTTGAACCGGGTTATGAGCAATTGCAATCGCAGCCGTATTGTCACAATATAAATCCATGGGTTTCTTAGACCCAAAACCAAGGTCTCTCAATAATCTCCTCAACCATAGTAACTCAGATACACCATGAGCCATTCCCCGATACTCGGCTTCAGCACTAGATCGAGACACCACCTTTTGTTTCTTGCTCCTCCACGTAACAAGATTGCCACCAACAAACATAAAATACCCAGATGTTGAGCGCCTATCTGTAGCTGAACCTGCTCAATTAGCATCTGTGTACCCTTCCACATCTGTATGACCGTACTTGGAAAACATTAACCCCTTGTCAGGAGCCCCTTTGAGGTATCTCAAAATACGTGTCACGGCACCCATATGATCTTCACTCGGTGAGTGCATAAACTGACTCACTACACTGATGTTGAGCGCCTATCTGTAGCTGAACCTGCTCAATTAGCATCTGTGTACCCTTCCACATCTGTATGAGCTTGATCAGGATACAACCCCAACTTGTGATTCTGTTCACTAGGAGTATCAATGGGTTTACAATCCAACATTCCAGTTTCTGCAAGCAAGTCCAAAACATATTTTCTTTGGGACAGAAAAATACCATGCTTAGATCTGGCAACTTCAATCCCAAGAAAGTATTTCAAATCACCTAATGATTTCATCTCAAATTCAGATGCAAGATATTTATGAAGATTCTGTATTTCTACCTGATCATCTCCAGTTACAATCATATCATCAACATAAATTATTAAAGCTGTCAATTTACCTCTGCGACGTTTCAGAAACAAAGTATGATCCGCGTTACTTTGTACATACCCAGACTTCCTCATATATGCAGCAAACCTCCCGAACCAAGCTCTTGGAGACTGCTTTAATCCATACAATGATTTCCGTAGCTTGCACACCATACCCTCCTTAGAGACCATACCCTCTTTAGCGGTCACAAGGATACCCTGCGGAGGATCCATGTATATTTCTTTTTTGAGGTCACCATGGAAAAACGCATTCTTGACATCAAATTGTAACAGCGGCCAGTCATGATTAGCAGCTAAGGATAAGAGTACGCGTACAGTGTTGAGC